AAAGAAGATAAAATAAGCTTTGATTCATCACTAAGCAAAGAAAAAAAAAGGAAAAAAAAAGAAGAGAAAGCATAGACGAATAGGGAACTTACAAATTACAATTGAACTTTATATATCTTTTTTAGCATGTGTATTAAAGTGAAAATTTTATGTTATACACAAAAATACTTTGTCATATAATTGGTCTTGATTAGCTTCTAATCATGTTCTTGATCCCAAGTCGGATCTAAGAAGATGTGAGGGTATTCATCCGAATTCCTTGATACAAAAATTACACAATATATATAAGTTATTTTTCTGTTTTCGTGAATATATATAGATTTTGAATTTTCTGAATACAAGACTAAGATTGGCTCAGTGGTTAAGGAGGTTTAAAATTCAAGATTCTAAATTTAAATTCTAGACATTTTAAAATTTTTCTTGATGAAAATTTTGAATCCGCTACCATCGATCATTAAAATTAAGTCATTAATCAACACTTTTTCCCCTTTAGATAAAGCAAGAATCTTTTTTTCCCCTACCCATTTCTTTTTATATATAGGTATGGTCATGTATCAACCAATCAGAAAACTGAAAATTAATTTGAGTTACTTCATGGAAAAGTTATTGATGTAACTATGCTTTAAACTTTATTTTGTATTATTATTTTGTTGATGATGTGTAGTGAAAGTAGGAAAAGATACTGCTTTTATTTAGGCAAAAAGACAAATAATGGTCAAGTTGTTTTGTGGGTGAATTAGTGCATCGCATGTGGTGAGAAAAATGAAAAGTTAAAAGAAGAGAAGAACTACGAAGTACCAATCAAACGGTTAATAAAGTGAATGAAAATCATAAAGACACAAATAACTACGTTATTTTTTCATGTTTATCTAGATTTTTATAAGTAGAAACAAGGAATGTATACAGAATGTAAGTTATGAATTCATCTGAATTCAAAAATCAAATGAATTACATTGTTGAAGAATATCTTACCTCAATCTCATAAAGTTCATATTCTGAATGTGCCTCTAACTCGAAAATTAATGTGATCCAAACACAAATAGAAGAAGCTAACTAGGAAGTATAGAGAAAAAGAGTTGCAATTAATAATAGTTTTAACACTAAAAAAATTGAAGTCTAACATGGTGAGCAAGTTGAAGGTTACGTACTTTACTATAAATATTTAAGTAAATACTATATATTATTATGTCTTTGTCGAAGGCAGGGTCGAAAGGAGGTTCAGGTAACAATAACAACAATATATCCAGTGAAATTTCACAAGTCAAACTTAGAAGGATAGAATGTACGCATACATTACCACTATTTCGTAGAGGTAGCGAAGTTGTTTTCCAAAGGCATTTCAGATAGTTAATAAAAAAAATACACCTAAACTATCGTATTTCTACGAGTCTCATACCTTAATTAACTTTTTTGTGAATTTCTTACATCAACTGCCACTACTTTTGTATTAAAACACATATCGATGCTGGCCTACAAGCACATGTTGTCGACTAGGAACAAATATTTGGCCAACTCAGCATCGATATGTATTTAAATACAAAGGGAATATAGTGTAGGTAGGCAAAGAAAACTATGAATAGGTATGAAACTCACAAAAACACGATAGTTTAAGCGTGTATTTTACACAACTTTTTTTAAAAAAAAAAGTGTAAGGTGGGGAGAAAGTTGATGGATGTGCACTTCCCTAGGAATATCAAAGTTAGCTTTATATATTGAAGTTGGAAGAAATCATATAGTGTCCTATAGAAATACTTTTGGATGTGTGACACAAGGAGCTAGAAAAGAAAAGTTGTGAAGAAAAGTAAAGAAGATTTTGGCTGTTTAAACCAAATCTAAGTGAGGTCACTTGTAATTTTGGCAAAAGAAGCTTGCTCTTGGGTTGGTGTTGAACAATTTCTTTAAGGTAAGATTTGTGAATAATAACTCTTCTTATTCTATGTTTGGAGTACATTTTATACCTTTGAATAGTTTGTAAAATCTTTGTGTTGTCTATTACTTCATCACATGTTTGTATGAGGATATCTGTCGCTAAATAGCTCGTAGTTAACAAGATTTTTTGGAAATCTGTTGTTAAATAGAATCAGCAACGATTTTTTGTTGTTTAGCTACATAAGTTTTTTTGTCACTAATTCTTGTTTTTCTTTTAGTTAAGCTCCAAGAATTAATGTCCCTTTCTCCCAAACTTGGCCCCTCCCTAGTTGATAAAATGGCCTCTTATAACTCCACAAAATGGACATATACAAGATTCTTCTTAGAACCCTGCTAACGCGAGATGCTTTGTGCACCGACATATATAAGATCTTTCCTAGAACCCTGCTAATGCGAGATGCTTTGTGCACCAACATATATAAGATCTTTCCCAGAACCTGCTATGTGCACCGACATATATAAGATCTTTCCAAGAACCCTGCTAATGCAGAATGCTTTGTGCACCGACATATACAAGATTCTCTTATTCCACAAACCAGAGTTTTTCAAGTCAATATGAGCACCTAAAATTTCATACACTTGTTTATATCTTGACTTAAACTTGTGTTATAATTGATAATTTTTCAGATCATTTCTGGTGTTTGAGAGTAGTCATGAAGAACAACTCAGCAATTAAATTCCTAAAACATGTCATGTCAGTACTATCCACAATAGCCAAATCAAAATCAACAGCCATCAAAAGCAAAACTGAGGCCATAAAAGCTAAGTTAATGGTCTTATCATTGCTCAAATCCAAGAAACTCTCTATATCTGGCCTAGGAACTAAGGCCATTTCTCACAAGATCCATTCACTATTAGGCCATAAAGATCAAGATCAAGATCACGAAGACGAAAACAATAAGGCCATTGTACTCTACAACCACGCCCCTGAAGTTGGTGAAGATTTTTTACACTATCAGCATAACGAGGCTAACGAAGAGATACTACTATTAAGCAATGGGGAAAATTATGATTATGATAATGATAAGTATCCGGATTTAACACATTCATTGTTCGATGAAGAGGACGAGTACTTAGGTGATCCAAATGCATCAGCTATAGACATGGTAAGGAATTTCAAAGAGGAAGAAGGAGAGAACTTTGTTCTTGAAGACGAGATCGATAACGTTGCAGACTTGTTCATCAAGAAGTTTCACAAAAGGATGAGATTACAAAAGCTTGAATCTTTCAAGAGGTATCAAGAAATGCTTCAGAGAAGCACTTAATTATAAGTAGATTGTTCATTATTATTAATTGCTAATTAAAGTTTATCTGTTAAGACACATCTGCAATATTATTATTATTGTTGCAGTAGTTCTTTTATTTCAACTATGAAGTGTTGTTTTTTTCAGTTTTTTTGAATAAATTTTTATGTACTTTGTTCCCTAGTAGCAAAAGAGAGAAAAACTAAGGACTTGTACTAATAAGTTGGGAGAAATAGGCATGTATGAATCAAGATTTTGTGTAAGTTTCTAACCATGTAAATTTTATCTCGAGTATGGGATCGATATCAGTAATCACGATGAAACTTTGGTTGTTTGACTTTCGTACTCTGAATCCAGTCATTCTTTTTCAAAACGGAGGAAGTAATAGTTTTATAAGTACTAGAATTACTATTTGAATTTATTCTACACTGTATAAACAGATAAATTTCTAAAAATTCTGTTTATACTATTGTCTATTTATGTTTCTTTTTCATACATATATAGTATTTTATTTAGTTATTTCAAAAGCTTGGAGAGGTACTTTTTATGTGTAAGGTCAAAGAAACCTAACTGCATTTACAAGAAAATGGTGATTTATAGAAAAGAAATAAGTTATGTTGCTCAGACTCTTTAAAAGTTCCGTCTGATGTGTATCGGATCTTCAAAAAGCTATGCATTTTTGGAGGATCCGATACGAGTGAAACAATATTTTTGGAAGGTCCAAGCAACTTAGAATTTGCAACCAACTCTCAAAGCAAATTGTAAATATCAGATACATGTAGGAAACCTCAAGCCTTTGGGGGTAACACATCTAGAAAGGCAACATTTTAGGCTACAGCCTAACCTTATCTTTTTTTTTCACTCAGTGTTGTTCAGGCTAGCTCCCACTAACACAAGTATCGAGTAACTCTGTCCACCAACGCTCAGGTAGATAGGAAGAGATCACCTAACAGTTTTTTGTCTCTACTCGATTTCAACAGTAATCTCCTGTGAATTTCATCCACTTCATTGAACGTCTTTTTGTCACATCTTTGGGTGCTTGAATTGGTGTGACGCCCATGATGGAGTGCGGGTCACAAGGATGGCTGACAGGCTTTTAGGCTGGAGAGCTTTTGAAGAAGGGGTGCAGCACATGATACCTTAGGTAATCCCACATCAAAAAGGGAGAGAAAAGTGAAGAACTTTATAAGGCATAACACTAGTCCACATGGTTCGCACACTTTTGGGGCTCGATGTGACGTAGCCCAAAAGACAAATCCGTGTGGAACTAGGCCAGAAGCGGACAATTAAATATGAACCACAGGGCAGTGCTCAAAGATGATTTAAGATTTAAGGGTTAACTGTCCCTTCCAACAACATGACAGTCCTTTGTGACTCAGAATTAGGCTCTGTAAGTTTAAAGACTCCTCCAGCAGAAGCAAATTAACTAGAAATAACTCAAGCATCACTAAAATTCAACCAGATATATGTGGTCCTGCCCGGCACAAGTCTCGATCAGTCGGGACCAATGGACTTCGAATACCAGATGGTTAAACCAAAAAGTTCAGAAATAGAGACAAGATATTAAGTACTTATCAGTGATAATATGCACAGTACTTTACAACAACTGCTACTACGGACCTAGTGTAATCCCACAAGTTTGGGGAGGGTAGAGCGTACGCGGACCTTACCCCTACCTTTGAGAAGGTAGAGAGGTTGTTTCGTAAGACCCTCGGCTGAATAATCAGTGAAAAAGAGGCAATAGCAACAAACAGAAACAGCAACAAGATAATAAGATACCGAAACTAGAATGTAATTATAGAAGATGCATCTAGGTAGCCCTCAATATATAGTGAGAAAAGCATAAAGCATATTATTTTCCATAACCATCAGATGGAGAACTATTGAAATAACATCAATCACCTCCAAACTAGTTCTAGAAAGTGATTGATGAAATTTTCACTATGAGAAATATACATGGGAATATCTATAATTTAGCCATTAAGAAAAAAAATACAAGGAGAATTAGTACTAAAAAATTATCAAAGTTAATTGAGATGTGCTTCTTACATGCATCTAGAAGGAATTATCTTTCAGAGGGAGATCATAAACTGGAGATGAGAGAAAGTTCCCTTCTTGCTCATCAGACTCAATCAGCATCAGAACAACCTCGCGCATTGAAGGACGATCATAAGGGGACATGCTAGTGCACATTAGAGCAATTTTAAGAACTGTAAGCATATGACTAACAGTAATTACATCTTCCAAATCCAATCGGCTATCGAGTACCCCTGGTGTCAATGAATGGTTCCTAACATAATGCTTCACCCATGAGACAAGATCACCGCCTTGTTCTAGGGGCTGTACGGGTGCTTTTCCAGTTAGCAACTCCAAAAGGACTACCCCATAACTATAGATATCACATTTTTCCGTAACTTTCATGGTGTAAGCATATTCTGCAACAGAGAAGGTAGAAAACATCAATTGAAAAGGAAAAAATGGTTTTATAACACAGAATGAAAATTACGAGAGGGATATTAAAAGCTACATAGACAGAGAAAAGTTAAAAGCATTTTTTCTTGTATTCTGTCATTTCATCAAAGAAATTAACTTGTTCGTAAACAATTTTAACTATCAAACTTCAACAAGATATGCATTTCATATCACAAAGAGAAGAATTAGATTTTCAAAGTGAACAACACATGGTCGAATATCTAAACTGAACATAAATATGTGGGAACAAGAATGCTCCATATGTATCAGGAAGAGTCCCCAAAGTTCGCCTAAGATACATAGAGCAGTTTGTATGGCTTCTCCTGGCATAGAACACATATAAAATGAGAAGTATACACAGATAAAAGTTAAAAGCATTTCATTGTTGTCTTCAGATAATCGAAGAAATAGACGTTGCATACAATTCTAACTATCTAATCTCAACAAGAAAATCCTATTCATATCAACAAAAACAGGTAACACTTTCAGAGTGAAGATACAGATAAATATGTGGGAATAAGGATCAAATGGCAGTACATTTCTCGACATATTTCTATAGATAACAAGGGAACATAAGAAGTTGTCCGGGAGAAAACAGAAAGACATACCAGGGGCTATGTAGCCATATGAGCCAGCAACTGCAGACATCGACTTAGATTGAGGCATATCAACAACTTTTGCCAAACCAAAATCACCAACATGAGCTTCAAACTTCTCATCAATCAGAATATTATTGGACTTTATATCACGGTGGATGATCCGGGGCTTGCAATCATGATGTAAGTAAGAAAGTCCTTGAGCAGCTCCAACAGCCACCATAAAGCGAGTTGGCCAATCCAATCTGCAAGATGTACTGTGAAGCAGTTCACCCAAGCTACCTCTGGCCATATACTCATAGAGAAGTAAATTAGAACCCTGATGATAGCAAAATCCATATAGCTTTACGATGTTACGATGCCTAATCTTTCCTAGAGTTAAGATCTCTGCACGGAAGCTATTGTCGATGTTATTACCCTCTCTGTTAGAAGCAAGCTTCTTGACTGCAATCGTTTGTCCAGACTGCATGACTGCTTTGTAAACTGTTCCGACGGCTCCTCTTCCAAGAACATAACAATCCTGAAAATTGTTTGTAGCCTCAACCAAGTCCTGGAAAGTGAAACCCTCTTTGGGACGGAAATAAATGTCTGGATCTGAAGATGACATGTCTTTATCCTGGGTTACCACCATCTCAACTGGATGCTGCTTCATATAGTACAAAACTACCACAATCAAAACAAGAGAAACTCCACCAATTACACCGGCAACTGCAGTAATAATCTTTGCTCGAGGAGAATCTGCACTCTCGACTCTAGGAGGATTATTGGCATCATAAGCTGGAGATGCATTACATTCCCCTAGAGGCCCACCGCAAAGACCTTTGTTTCCAATGAAGCTGCTGATATCCATGTTCCGAAAGAGTGGTATATCCGGCAGTGGTCCAGTCAGGTCATTGTATGAGAAGTCAATGCCCAAGAGACTTGTCAGGTTTCCAAATGTGCTTGGTATTTCACCACTCAAATGATTGTTGTTGAGATATAGGTACTCTAATAGGATAAGATTACCAAGGTTGGGTGGTATACTGCCAGAGAGATTGTTGTTGCTAAGATCCATTGCAATTTGTAAGCCACTAAGATTACCCAACTCTGATGGTATTTCACCTGACAATAGATTACTGCCCATCTGCAGCTCAGTCAAATGAGAGAGGCTCCCCAATGCTGCTGGTATCTTTCCAGATAACTTATTCTCTGAAAGCAAAAGACGTTCTAGCTGCGACAAGCTACCAATGTCATCAGGTATAACATCAGTAAATCTGTTCTTGCTGAGATCCAGTCTTTGTAGTGCCTTGCAGTTCCGAATTTCTGGAGGTATCGGTCCAGTGAGCGAATTTGCTGAGACGTTGAATGTCACAAGCCTGGTAAGATTTCCTATCTCCCTTGGCAACTGGTTGAAACTATTGCCTGAGAAATCAAGCCTCTGCAACTTCTGGCAATATTTAATATCAGGAGGTATTGGACCAGTGAACTTGTTCTGCCCCAGTTCAACAGCAGACAGGTTTATCAATTTGCACAACTCAGAAGGAAATGTCCCTGTTAGCCTGTTATCGTTCAGACGAAGTTGCACCAATGAATCACATTTAAGAACACCAGATGGAATATATCCATGCAATTTATTTGATGCAAGATTCAGCAAAATCAAATTGGAATTCTGACAAACGAATGGAGGAATTCTTCCTGTGAGTTGATTGTTATTTAAATCAAGCACCCAAAGTCGACTATAAATGCCAAGACGTTGAGGAATAGTACCAGTTAAAGAATTCTCAAAAAGCTGTAACTGAACCAATTCCTTTTGATACTGAAAACCAAATGGAATAGGACCTGTTAGGTGATTAATTGACAAATCAAGACTAATCAAGTTCTTTAATGTAGTAAGTTCATCTGGTATAACGCCTTCGAGCTGATTCTGGAAAAGAAACAACAATTTCAGACTTTTTATTTGGCCAAACTCAACTGGAATTTCTCCTTTCAGAAAGTTTTCTGAGAAATCAATTTCTGTTGCCATAGAAAGATTCCCAATCTCCCTTGGAATGCTACCATTTAATCCATTCCGGTATAGGTATAACTTCGTCAAAGTTTTGAGTTTACCTATTTCAGCAGGAATATCTCCAATCAGGTTATTCTGATATAAAGCAAGCAATTGAATTTGTGTTAAATTTCCAAGTTCCTTTGGAATATAACCAGAGAACTGATTTCCCCAAAGCACAAGCTCTTTCAACTTACTAAGCATGCCAAGTTCTTTTGGTATGTTTCCTTCCAGGCAATTCTGTGTTAGACCAAGAGATTCCAAGCTCTCACAACCACCTATCTCTGCAGGTAAACTTCCAGAAAGTGCATTCTGCCCCACTCGAAATATTGTCAAATTTTTCAAACTTCCAATAGATCGAGGCACTGGACCGGTAAGATTATTGGTGTATGCAACGAAAGTAACTAGAGACGAGAGTTTCCCAAACTCCTCAGCAATAGGACCAGAGATCATGTTGCTGCTCATGTTCACATCCTTCAAATTAGACAGGTTATACAGTTCAGCAGGAATCGGACCGTAAAAAGTATTAAAATGGAGCTGGAGAGACTGCAATTTTGAGCAATTTCCAATCTCTTTGGGAATGTTCCCGGTGAATTGATTGTAAGACAGGTTAAGATAAGCTAAATATTCAAGACCACCAATGCTAGAACTCAACGTGCCTGAAAGATTCATATAGCTCAGATAAAGAGATTGCACAACTGGATTATAATCAGAAGTGCAATTCACACCTACCCAGCCACAAGGAGTTTCATCATTTGGATTCCAATTCCCCAAATGGTTAAACGAATCCTGGAAATTCTTCTTCAATTCAAGAAGGTACATTCCTTCCTGATTCAATCCTTCGGCAGGAGAAACCAGCAATAGTACAGCAGCCACCAAAGCACTTATCCAAATTAGAAGAACTAAACCACTTCTTGATTCAAAATCTCCAGACATCATAACAAACTTCCAATAAGACAGTCTCAGTTTGACCTGTTAATCCAACTATGTGTCAATACTTATAAAATACAACAACAACAACAACATAACCAGTGTAGTCACACAAAGTGGGGACTCGGGAGGGTATAGACTATAGTGTACTCAAACCTTACCCCTATCTCAGAGGTAGGGAGGTTGTTTCCGGTAGCCCCTCGGCTCAAGAAAAAACAGTCCAGAAAATGAAGTAATGGAAGTACAAGAATCAACAGATAATAGCAAAACAATAGAGAATAGCAGAACAAAAACTACAACAAAACAGTACACAATCGAGGTATAAGGAATCAAATAGATAGTAACAGAATGAGCAATAGTATGACTACTAATATGAACGGACAACAAGACAACGCATTGCCACCTACTACCCTAATCCAAGTCCTACCCTCCACACCCTTAAGGTCAATCATCAAGAAGAGACAATACTAACTAGATAAACTAGACAAACCAGAAAAAGTTCTATGCATACCAATTAATCAACTAACTTCAAAGAATCCAATCAACTCAGAAATGCCCAGAAACTCAACTAAATAAAAGGAGTAATTCAGGAATAAATAAGAAACTCATTAAAGATCTAAGCTTTAGCATACCTCTAGGCTATTGAGCCCATCACCTTGTCAAAAAGAGCTGAATTCCACCAAAAACCCAGAAAAAGCAAAGAACTCTCAAGTAATTCCTTTAGATGATGACAGAGCAAAGACCATAAAACTCATGAATTGAGGAAAAGATAAAATCAAAGATTATACTATATCTAAAACCAAGAACCTCCAACATTTTTCCAATAATGGTGGGGATCTTCCTATATACATGCAAGATTTTGAAAAAGGGTTGGATAAAAATGAGAAAGATTCAACCTTTATTTCAGGACAAGCCAAAAAAAAGGAAATGGAAAAACTCAAATACACTGAATCAAGAAAACCCTTTATTTTATTCAAGAAAATATAACACAAAAGCCTATTTTCTTTTCCAAATGGCAATGATAGTGAAGGATCTTTAGGTAAATGGAAAGGATGGATATGAGTTCCTCATTGAAGCTTTAATGGCAGACAAAGCATGCTTTCACTAAGCTTTAATTTTCTTCAATATATATGATGATGAGGAGGACTTCAATATCTTGATGTATTTTTTTATAATTTATATATAATCTTGATTCTTTAATTTCACTCTATCTCAAAAGTCCTAATCTCTTTTGGCTTCTCTATATCATAAAGTTAGCCTTTTTGAGTGCTTGAAAAAGTATAAAATTTTGTGAACTTTTTAGGCATTACAAGTTAATAAATGCAAATAAATTATTTATTGTGGAATTCTGAGATTAGGACAGGTTTTGGGGTTTTTGTTTTAAATTGTTTTTTAGGGTTTCTTTTGGCACTGAAAATTGTGTGTAGTGAAAATGAAATCAGATGTGATGCTTTGCAATGGTATCATTTTCTGTGTACTTCATTTTTATCCTTTTGTTTTGGATTCACTATGCTAGTCACCCCCCCCCCACCCACCCATTCATGAAACTTGAGTACGAGACTCCTGATTAAAGGTGATTGAGGGAAAAAAGGATAAATATATCCCAAACTATCGTAAATGATATGCAGATACCCTCCGTCATACTTTTGGGCCTCTGACGTCAAAAAACTAGAGCATATATACCCTTTATACTAACGGACATACATGTCATAATCTTATCCACTGAGCCGACATTTATTAAATATCGGATCGACGGATAAGATTGCGCCATGTGTCCCTATTTAGTCTTCTGTTAGAGTAAGGGCATATATGCTCTAGTTTTTGGACGGCAGGGGCACCAATGTCCCAAAAATATGATGGAGGATATCTGCATATCATTTACGATAATTCAGGGCTATATTTGTCATTTTTTCCTACATTTTATCACATTTCATGATGGTGTTATGTTAGTCTATAACTTGACTCATAACTAGAAGGGAAATCAAGTTTTGAAATTTTACATGAGCAAGAAGCATGTATACCATACTCAAGTAGAGTTGTCGATATTATTGCAAGGATTTAAATAATTCATGTCATGATCGAAGTGGATAGTATTCGAAACTATATAACTACTATAAATAGCTCTAAAAATTACTACTACAACGATATTCTTGATGGTAGGTTGTTGAGGGACCGATTGAGACATTCGTAGATAAACATAGCTTTAAAGAATGCAACATTCTTGTTTTTATTTATTCAGTTAAACGATAGATAAATAATACAAATAATTTTCATAATTAAAGGTATCCTAAATGAAACTCATATAGACTATGTATAATGTATTTATGTAGTTATTAATAATATAATATCATCATCTTATTAAAGAAAAAAACACTCAACTCAAATCTAAACATTTTTGTCTATTTTGTTTCCTTTTTGGTTCTAACACCAATTTCAAGTGGGACCCATTTTGCAACCAAATATAAGGTAGGGCCTACCAAACTCAAAATAATGTGGACCAATGGAACCATGAGTAATGAAGTTGATAGCCTCTTAAGCACTTACTTTATGTCTAAATCAATGATTCACACAAACCTATATAGTCTTTGGTATTAATTATTTGATCCTTGAAAAAATTGGTAGGATTCCATTTTTGGTGGACAATCAAATGCATTAAACTATAGAGTATAATTCTATTAGTGGTCATTTGGTTTTAAAACTATCAAAATTAATGAAAAAATTTCCTTCAAAAACTTTGGGAAAAAAATGGAGAATAATGATTCTTCATTATACTACTCTAAGTACTCTCTCTGTTCAACAATAGTTGTCCAATACACTATTTTAAGATGTTCAACAATACTTATTCACTTTATGAAATTAATGAATAATTTTACACTTACTTCATAATTTATCCTTATCATTAATTATAGTAATTTTCCTATTACATTTTTAAAGACATTGTATTTATTAAATTTAAAGAGTGATATTAGTAAAATACTCTTCTATTTATAGTTTCTTAAGAAGTGTGAACAGTCAATAATAGACAAGTATTGTTGGACAAAAAGAGTAATGTTTTTACCAAAAATAATTAACTTATATATCATACATTAGAAATAAGTAATTTTTTATTGGAATAATTACAAAGAGTTACAATAAGATAGATATAATTTCCTTATTATTGATTAAAAAAAATTGAGTTTAAGTCCCAAAAATGTTTTATACGATATAAATTTATATTAATCGAGACTTTAAAATGAACGTAAGAAACAAACATTATGTGGAACTAAATTTCAGATAGTATGTGGAAATGATATTGGTGTGGAAGAAAAATATAAAAACAAAAAGAATATTTTGATGGAGGTGTCATATCATGAGTAGACTTTTATTTTTGTGAGTGTTTGCATCTATCCCTATGTTGATTTTCTTTTTTTACTCTGGGGTTTGGCACTTTTTTCCACTCAAAACTTTCAAACTCAATCACACCAATAAATAAATTACACTTGTCTTAGTCTTTTTGACCTTAATAATTGTGTATATTTGATGTACTTGTCTCCCTCCATGAATTTAAAAAGGGGAAAAGGTCAAATATGCTCCTAAACTATTCGAAAAGGATTAGATATACTCTCGTTTAAAGTTTGGCTTACTCGTGCCCTCGCCATCCAACTTTTCGTCTAGATATGCCCTTATGGGCGTTAAAATGCCAAATGGAATTGCCACGTCATTTTTACATTACCATATGACATTTATATTAAAGGGAAAAGGGTCAAATATACCCCTAAACTATTCGAAAAGGTCTAGATATACCCCCCTTTTAAATAAACTACCCGACCCATTTTCAACAAAAAAAAATCGGTAAATCCCGGAATGAGTAATTGACTAATAAAAAATAGAAAAAATATGAAAAAATTAGATTAAATTAACTCCAAAAATTCACAAATAAATATAGTAACCTTAAATTCAACAATTTTTTTAATTTTTTTTCGATAAGATTTTTTTC